AGAAGATGGTTAGGGTCAGGGCTAGAAGATGGTTAGGGTCAAGGCTAGAAGATGGTTAGGGTCAGGGCTAGAAGATGGTTAGGGTCAGGGCTAGAAGATGGTTAGGGTCAGGGCTAGAAGCTGGTTAGAGGCTAGACGTACCAAAAATGTGTAGTAAGTAGAATCGGATACACAAAGATATTGATCAAGTCGTAAAATCGGATACACACAAAATAGAACAAGAATCGAATACACCCGAAATATCGAGTAGGAATCGGATCCACCGAGAGCCGTTTCTTGGTAAAACAATACTCACAAAACCGGCCCAGATTTATATCAGTGTTTCTCCAATCACGTGACTGTTATTTATAACCGTGGTGAGTTTATTGTTTTTGACAACAGGCGGATGGTGGAGCGGGGGGGGGGGGGGGGAGCGAGAAGTCAAGTAGAGGCTCTGTTTAACACACGAAGAACGAGGCATCCATTAACATCCAGTAGTGTATGGACGTGACGCTAGTGACGATTTGACGGCCATTACTGACCTCGTCAGGTAACTTAACATACAGCCTCTATGTCTCGGTTCTTTGCTTTGTGTTGTCTTGTAATCGACGAAGTCACTGTATGCATTAATCAAAATAAATACGACGTGAATACGTATGTTCCAATAATTTAACCAAGTTCCCGTTATTTATGTGAGTAGCGCACCACAATACCATTGTTTCTACTGCAGTAACTACACACTTCTCCTTTATACGTGTCCTCCCTCTCTTTACAAAAAGCAAACTATTTTCTACCCACCATGATTAATATTTTAATCACTTTATACTTAAGTCATCTGTTTTTGATGTCATTAGATCAAATACAGACATTTTGTTATTAGTGTTTGTGAAGCTGTTGAAAAAAAACTGAAGTAAATTTGATGCTAGGAAAAATCTGATGTTAAATGGAGGGCAGGTAAATCTGATATTTATCAAATAGGAACACCGTTTCGTTTAAAAAATAAAGACGACTATTTCGATAGTCAGACGTTGTCTTATCACAGCTCTTCTTTGTTTTATTTTTATTCACAGAGGCGTAGCTAAGTGGTGTGCTGGGGGGCGTCCTCCCCGGCAGGTACTTTTAATCGACCAAATCAAGAACCTGTCCTGATAAATAAATAACTACCGGAAAATCCAGCGTGATCGCTGGCACCGATTTATCTTAGCTACACCAAGGGCTATTTGCTGTAGTAGTCCGACATGTTTTCTCCTTAAGGAAAGGCCGTGTTTGTTCTTGAGACTGTAGACAGTCCAGGTCAGTAGCGTAGCGAGGGGGGGGGGGGGGCGGGGGGGACGGACATATGTCCCCGGGCGCCGAGCTTAGTGGGCGCCAAAATGGGTTGGAAAACTAAATTGAAAGGTTGAGGGGGGTGAAAATTGAAAGTTGGAGGGGGGGTGCAAATCAAAATCTCGAGGGGGGGGGGTGCAAATCGAAAGTTTGAGGGGGGTGTGCAAATCAAAATCTCGAGGGGGGGAGTGCAAATCAAAAGTTTGAGGGGGGGGGTGCAAATCGAAATCTCGAGGGGGGTGCAAATCGAAATCTCGAGGGGGGTGCAAATCGAAAAGTTTGTCCCCGGGCGCCGGGAAGGGTCGCTACGCCACTGGTCCAGGTATAACAGTATACTGGTAGTAAACGTTGAGAGTAGAGAAAAAATGTCTAATGATTTTTTTTGTTTAATCTTTTACCATTTTGCGAATTCTTTTTATACGTGATTTATTGATTCCTTTCCATTTAATGTATTTGTTTGAGAATTTAAATCACTTGAATGGTTTAAAAATAGGGTGCTATGAACATGAAGAAACGAAGTAAATAGAATTGAGGCACGTTGTAAACTAAAGTTTAATTCATCTCAGCATTACTTACATTCTGTTTTGTCATATATGTAACAACTATGTTATCAATAGTCTCAATCTAACCAAGTAGGTCATGACAAAGTAAAAATTAAATATTCAATTCAAGAAACAAAACAAAAACAAAATGTTAAAAGAAGCTTTTCAGTTTGAAACGGCTGAATCAGGTTCGTGGTTTTTAAATAACTGTTTAAAAAAATCAACATATACAATTTTTCAAACACACTGATAAACACACACATACACAAACACACACATACACAAACATACACACTTTATAACATGGCTTCAGCTTAAGTAACTAGAACGGTGGTCAGATTTTTGGGAGTCAAATTTCAATTGACAAAGTTGGGGGGGGGGGGGGGTAGTTTGAGGGTAAGATATGCCTCGCCCTAGGTAATGTCGATGGTTTTCATAGCTGTGTAATTATTAAAACTTCATCAAATGTCATATAACCCACATGTAAGAACACACATAAAACTTTCACCGAACATACAGCAACCATCTTCAAAGATAAAACATGTTCTACTACCTGCTTACACGTGAATACAATATTCTCAATCAAATATTAATTATTTTAAATTAACATTCAACTCACGGTCAACTAAAATAAACACAATTCTGTACAAAATAAATCAATACGTTAACTGTTAAAAAGCAAGCAATCCTTCAAGATGTTAAAGTGTAACATATCTTTTGAAAACACTAAGTGTTTAGATCAGTTGTGTACACAATCCACACAACATAATGTTCTTCTGAGAAAATGTCAACTGATCTAACACAAATTGATAATAAAAAAAATATATCAAAACATCCGAGTTTCAAAACTTTATTTTGACCTATCAGATCTAACTGCTCGTAAAAAAATCTTATTTGTTGAAAATTGTACTTGTTTACATATTTATTCCTAATTTTAGTTTTAAATATAAAAAAAAAATGTAGATGTAAAACTGTGTTATCTGTGTTGGATTAAATGTGATTATATCGAATGGATTAAGGAAATTGAGGTAAAACTCTATGCTCATGTTGGTACAAGATGATTATGTAGCTGCCTATGTTTAAAATACAGGTTCATGTTAAGTCATTCAAAACCATTGTTTTATCACAAAATTTGATATGCACACTGATGCATTGTAAGAAAAACAAAAAGGGAGGCAAATTATCAAGGGAAAATACAAATTTCAAAAAATTAAATTTCACAAATGAAACAAACTTAATTGAAAGCACAAGACCACAAAGCTTATTTAGGTACAAATTTTTACAGTCCAAATTTTTGTACAACAAATTAGTCATTGCTTACATTTTAAAATAAGTGGTAAATAAATATTAAGGCTGTGTTTATTTAGTTAAAACCAAAATCAACAGTTTTTAAACATCTTAATTTAAAAAGAACCTCAGAAACAATACTATTAAGTTAACTATAAATTTCTAAAAAAAAACATATTTAGACTTAAAACAAATGATTTAAATCAATGAATAGTTATATAATTTTTCATGATTTTTTAAAATTTCGATAAATATTTCCAGAATGTATATTGTCAGTTATAAAATTGGGTATTTAAATATATATTTATATCAGTCCTAAATGAAAGTGAATCCTACTACAACCAAATATATTAATAAAAAAAATAAAATGTTACTATGTGAAAATGGAACACTAATTTAGTACAATGTTCACAAACCACTTCACTAGTAGAGGACAAGACGTAGGAGGGTTATTGGAGAACAGCAAACATCAAGAGAGACCATCGTCTAGCTTGGATTTGTAGGCTGGAGCCTTGATGACTAATCCTAAACCCATGGCTAATCCAGTATCCCATTGCTAATCCAGTACCCCATGGATAATCCTGAACCCATGGATAATCTTGAACCAATGGCTAATCTTGAACCCATGGCTAATCCAGTACCCCATGGCTAATCCAGTACCCCATGGCTAATCCAGTACCCCATGGCTAATCCAGTACCCCATGGCTAATCCAGTACCCCATGACTAATCCTGAACTCATGGATGAACCAGAACCCAATGAATAACAATGAAACTCACCCCACCTTTTCAAACCTCTCAATTAATTGAAAATTTTGATTCCGAATACAGTTTAGGGAATCTACAGCGAACGAATAAAACCTAACTAGCTATAGCCCTAACTCTATAGCCTAGAATACAAGCTAAACAGTGGCTTCGCTTGTGATTCCGAGTTCAAAACCCGTGTGGTCCAAGGTGGTTCAGGGTGGTCTGTTAAAACCCACCATTTGCTGCTATGCTTATCATGTTCTCATAAATATTGGTCACTGTGTTCAGATCAGACAGACGCTAGCATGGTTTATGTGATGGCTAAACGGTTGCAAACATACAATATGTGAATGCACAACGCACGTGTGCTAATATGTTCATCTGCACACATACATGTTACCATATATGGTTGTGCACACACACAAATATATGAAAGCTAACCGTTGTTTCGCCCTTTACATCTAATGTACAACTCTCACACTAAGGCCCATATGGCCCGATTGCTTTCATCTACACTGATTGGTTGGCTAACATTCATCACATATTTCATCATTATATACAACAATTTATAAATATTTGATATATAGTTGCTAATAATTTTTTTTGTTTCTTTTTACTGTGGCGTTTTTAAAGCCACGGCAAGGCAGATAAAAAAAATGTCCTCTCCAGGTTTCTAATCTGGGCTAGTTCAGAATTACATAACAAAAATTTAATTAAAAAAAAAACATGTTTTTTCAACACTTAACATATTTTAAAATTCTAATTAAATATTTTTGGCCCCGCTTAATTCTTGTTGGTTGTACTATAATTACAACTCAGAGCTTCTAAATACATACATTCCCAAAGGATATCCTAAGCTATGTTTAAAAAATATCTCTATTTTAGATATTCGTCAAATAAAGCTCTAAAATAGCACCTATATTTTGTATCTAGAAAATAAATACACCTACAAGTTAAATAAAATACATGTGTATTTTACTAAGTTGTTTTGGGGGGTTGGGGGTTGATATTTCGGACACCAGGGGTCGAGCTGTAAGACGGGGGTCACACTTTGGACAAGCGCTCAAGGATCCCGCCTAGCTCGTACCAATCAAAACTAGCGAGGTCTCTAACATCTCTACCTTCGGCCGTCTGCAGAGAGATGATGTCGCTGTAGTCGCTCTCGCCGGCGTGGTTGTGGGCCTTGACTCGGGCGTTGTAGATGCTGTTGAAGTGGAGGCCGTCGACTGTACAGATCATCTCGCGACCTACGTACACCACCTGCAACATACAAGAGGTTAGAGGTCAGTTGCAGTTGGGGGAAAGGTGTGGCGGGGTAAGGTGTGGAGTTATGGGCAGGGTGTGGAGTTGGGAATAGTTGCACAACCAGGACAGGTTGCAGATGGGACATGGTATACGTTGAGACATGGGGCGATTTTCAAAGCTGTGACACCTGATACGCTACCAACCCGAGCATCAAAGACAAGATGAAACGGTACACAATATAAATCACACACAACAGTTACAACCTCGTTACAACTCCTTATAAACACAAACATTTTTTAAACAAACCAGACGCACCACATACGCAGCAATTACACGTTACATTTAATCTTTAAAATGTGGATTTCCTCAACGTTTCCACCCCCCCCAACTCAACACCTACCCGCTTGTTATATTTATATAAGTGTCATAGTAGTTAAATCCAAAAAAAAAAAAAAAGATCTTAATGTATAGCTCGAAGGCCGGTGACGGCCCGCATGCCACTGTCTTGACAAACACCGGTGTTCACCAATCCCCCACACTCCCAACACACAAACACCGGTGTTCAACAATCCCCCACACTCCCAACACACAAACACCGGTGTTCACCAATCCCCCACACACCCAACACACAAACACCGGTGTTCACCAATCCCCCACACTCCCAACACACTAACCGAGGGAGTCAGGGCGTGGGGCGCTGGTTTGTTTAGTACAGGTAGTGTTTGTTTCATTAACATTCCACAGGTAGGTTCCCTCTGTCAAACTTTGATTGGAGGGGTGAGTGGATCTATCGCTATTTCGATGGTGAGTGACACAGTTACCAGCCCAGGTGTGCGCTAGGTGGGGAGGAAATGCCGACAGTGTAGCACTGTTCGCAGCCCTACTGCCGGCTGTGTTGTTTTAGTAGGTTTTTTGTTGCTACACCGCCGGCAGCCATTTGTGTGACATGGCGTCTATGGTTACCGCGAGACGTGATGGTGTTTTTCTTAACGGCGAGAGGATTCCTCGATTTTGGCTGTTCAGAATGTTCTACATAATGTTCCCCAACTTTTTTTGTACAGAATATTCCCCAACTTTTGCTCTACAGAATGTTCCCCAACTTTTACTCTACGGTATGTTCCCCAACTTTTGCTCTACACAATGTTCCCCAACTTTTGCTCTACGGTATGTTCCCCAACTTTTGCTCTACAGAATGTTCCCCAACTTTTACTCTACGGTATGTTCCCCAACTTTTGCTCTACACAATGTTCCCCAACTTTTGCTCTACGGTATGTTCCCCAACTTTTGCTCTACAGAATGTTCCCCAACTTTTACTCTACGGTATGTTCCCCAACTTTTGCTCTACACAATGTTCCCCAACTTTTACTCTACGGTATGTTCCCCAACTTTTGCTCTACACAATGTTCCCCAACTTTTGCTCTACAGAATGCACCCCAACTTTTGGTGTGTAGAGTGTTCCTTAACTTTATGGCTTCTGGCTAAGATCGATTAGAGATCTATTTGAGATATTTTAAAGATTTTTTAAAGATTATTTATTTCGCGAAAAAAGTATTTTGAAGATAACCGATCTATCTAAAATGAACCTGTGAACATTCTTTAAAGATTTTTATTTTTACAATGCGGATCTTGATTTTATAAACAACTAATCTCAATGATAGTGAACATTTCGAAATTCATTTAAAATTTAAAGATCATCGATTTTCCTACTGTCCTGTGTTATAAGATCATGGATTTATATTTGAACTTTCAACTTTGAGACCCTGAATTTCATAACCTTTCACCTTTCTTGTGAAATCCTGTCCATTAAACATAAAAGCAAATATAAAAATATCAGACTCAGGATGATTCGAGAAAGCATAATCCGATTTGGAAATTTTCCTCAGAACTTTTCTTTATTTAAAAAAAAATGTGATCAGAAAAAAAAAGTGTTAGCTGTCCTTTATTATAGTATCCTGTATTTAATTTAAAATGTTATTTGTGTTTCAGTGTATATCATATCGGTACCAAACATAGCTGATAAAGTGTACTGCATCTTTTAAGGATCTATGTTCCAATTAGTCGTGTAGGGTGTGTGTGTGTGTGGGAGAGGGGGGGGGGGGGGTTAAAAAAAGATGAGAAGGGCTCGAACCCCACACATGTATAAAAAGACAACTGCCTCACGTTAAGTTTCAGCTATAGTCTACTGCACGCTATCCTTGCTTTCATTGTTTATGTTTCAAAAATACTGAATTTCATAATACCGAAATTTCTACGACATAAAAATAAACAAAATCCGGTGTGAAAAACTGGTCTGGGTAAAATATTTTTTGTTGCGAGTCTAGCACCAAACATGTTGCCTTCTTCCCCAGCATGAAAATATCACTGGGTAGTTGGTACAATAGAAACACGTCATTAGCCTTGGGCCCAGGTGAACACCAAAGCGAATTCCAATCAATCGAGCGATAAATAATATAAAATATCGATCCCGGCCTCGTAACACAATGGGACCGGCAAATAGGAGAAATTTCTAAAGCGCTTTCTGCGCGGGGAAACGATGGACTTCCGGCTGGCTGCGCACGGTAAATAGATAGATGTGAATGGCGCCATTTGCCCGTCTTGTGCCTGGCCAATCACACTTGAGTGAACCCATCACGTGACGCCCGCTGCACGTGGGATATTAACAGTTTACTATTATGGTGGCTAAGACTGGGTAAGCAGTTAAAATATGGACGTTCAAACGAGGCTTGTGATTTTTTGTCACATTTCGGGAGAAAAACATAGTAATCTTGTGAGCACGGAGTTAAAAATATAACGACAGTTTACAAAGAGGCATGTAAAAATGCAAGGTGTTCCAATGTTGCTACTAAACAGCATGGTGTTCTTATGGTGTTATCAGGACTACGGTAATGGTGTTGTCAGAATGTTGGCTTGTGTTTCAATTAATTAAAAAGTTAAATTGTAACATTTTAGTACATATCTAAATGAAATAAAAAAGTTTCGGAAAGGTTCGGTGTATATTTTCCAATTAAGTTTTTTTTTTTTACTAGCATCGTTTCTCGGCGGTTGTGGGCACCACAATTTTGGCTGTGTACACACAAATTCCCAAAAAAATCTGAAGTATATATATATATATATATATATATATATATATATATATATATATATATATATATATATATATATATATGACTAGGGTAGGCCTAGCCACTAGTTACAAATCTGATAACGAACGATAAGCCGAGACGCAGTATTACAGTCTGACGCAACATAGCAGGTGGCTTATTGGATCGGACTGATGACGATCTCAAAGCCAACGCGTGCTATTTTGGGAAACGGTACGAGGGGATTCAGACAGCCTGTCAACTTTGATTGATAGGATGCAGATGTTATTTCACGGACTGTACGTAGAACTGCGCAACTAGTGGTCGGAGACATCGAGTACAAGTATCGATTACGGAGGAATACAAGTACAAAGACGAGTACGGATACAAGAGATAAATAGGAGGGGACGGCGGAACTCGTTCTCTTCCCTCTTCATCGCTCGCTTTAGATCAGTCAGTCTGTGTGACATATCAAGTTGGTTATATTGTGTTAAGAAGGACAATAGACATGTGGATTCAGTTATATGAAGCCTAGTGAGGACTGTTAGGGGTCAGTTGATTCAGACTATTATTGTGAAACATTCCTGTTGATTCCTTGTGTTATATTGAAGCATTTCTTGATTCATGTAATAAAAGGATCAATAGCGAACCTGCATCTTCGAGTCTTTCTACTGTAGTCGATGTTGTGTAGCATGAGTGGTTCAACTCGTTACAATTGGCGTTGTCGGGCAGGATAGACTCGGGGAAGGTCACATTTGGCGTTGCGAGCAGGGTAACTGTTCGCTCGTTACATTTGGCGCTGCGATCAGGATGAATTCAACTAGACTTGCCGGTTGAGGCACCCATAGTCAACCTTGTGCATAACTGTGTTTTGTGTGTATGTGAATTCGGACATTCAGGAACTGTGAAAATTGAGGAAAATTTTTTCATACACACACGGTAAGAAAGAACTCTTTTGTTTTACTTACGGGATAAAATGTCTACTCTGGACGAGAAGCGGACCCATATAGTGGTCCTACCCAGAGAGTCCCACATTAACAAATTTTACGGGGACGGGGATCCAACTTTAACCAACAGGTTCAGTGAAGAGGTCAAAGCGGCCTGGGCCTCGAGAGGTATGTCACCAGAGGAAAGATTAAGACTGCTGATGGGAAGTATAGGAGAGACGGTCAGGGCAGAGGTCAAATGCCACGATAAAACCATCCAATCAGATCCGGATAAGGTGCTGGATCTGATTATGGAGACCTTTGGGGAGAGACGGTCGGGATCGCAACTGCTGGCAGGGTTCGTAGGCTTAAGGCAGAGAATGGCGGAGAGTGTGATGGAGTACTCACACCGGATGAACAGGGCCTTTGATTCGGTAAAGGTCAAAACACCTGACATTGATGTGCGCCTACTGAGGGACCATTTCATTGAGGGGCTGGCAACCCCGATCCTAAGAAGAGAGTTGAAAGAGGAGGTCCACAAAGACCCGCAGTTGACCTTCCTTCAGGTCAGGAACTCAGCGATCCGCAGGTCCGAGGATGAGGACCAATCGAACTGTTCGGTGGACAAAGTCTCGGTGCCTGAACAGAGACAATCCCCACCCACAGGGGCCGACACGATGGAGACCATGATGGCTCAACTGTTGGCCCACCTAGATAAGGTTGACCAACGATTGGAGAGGTTAGAGAGCAGGTCAACAGCTGAGAATCAGGGCAAAAACGGGACAAAACAGAGACGGGTTGGACGGCCGCGTCCTGCCAAGCCATCACTCCAATGGACGGCCGACGGTCGACCAATTTGCTTGTCCTGTTCACAACCCGGACATATGGCACGGTACTGTCCGGTGAAACGATCGCCCTCTGTACGGCAGGTCAAGGCTACAGAGCGGCGAGGTAATGACTTAGTAAACAAAATGACAAAGAAACACAGTAAGGAGAAAAAGAAAGGCAA